TCTTTACTTTAGTAATGTAAACTATTTAAAGAGCTTTCAGCCTTAGTCTTATTATAGAGCTACTGGGCTTATAATTTATTCATAATAAAGAAGCAGGCTAGTGAAATGTATGTAATATTGACTATATAGATTAATTGTACTAAGGTAAAATCTAACTATAAAGTGGAAGTGATATATACACAGTAGCTAAGCGCACGTGCCACAACTTTCAATATAAAATATATTTTATAAATAATATTCAAGCTTTAAAACCAAGCTCCTTTTTCAAATAAAACAATATTCTAAGTTTCTCAGAATTAGTCTATTTAATCCCTAGCTTTCTTATATATTTGCTTTATTTATATTATAATAATATTGAAGCTTAATATAATAAATTAAAAGTAAATTTAATTTTAGAAATTATTAATTAATAATATTGATAATTACATTTTTAATATATACTAAATCAATCTTAACTTGTCTTTTAATTCTAATCTCTAAATTCCTTTAAAAAAAGTTTTATATTTAACATGGTTTATTAGTAAGTAGATCATATTAATGAATAGATCACTTTCATCTCAATTTACACTCTTCTTTTTCAATACACATTTTATCAACAATTTACAATAAATTCGAATAATCAAAAAGCTCGTATACTCCTCGTTATCGAAACTATTCAGAAAAATAAAAAAATAAATATTCGAAAAACTACAAAGATATATAATATCCCGAATACGATATTACAATATAGAATCAAAGGTTTTACCCCTTACTCCAAATATCGATCTAAATCTTATAATCTTTCAGAATTAAAAGAGAATATTATTTCTAAATATATAATCGATATAAATTCGAAAGGTTTTCCATCTAAACTCAAGGATATAAAAGATATAGCAAATTATATTCTCAAATCAAAGGGTACAAAATGCATTAAGAAGCTCTGAACACATCGATTTATAAAGTATTGAATTGAATTAAAGATATATTTTAATTATGTTTATAACTTTCAAAAAGTTTTTTATAAGAATCCTAAACTCTTTAAAAAGTGGTTTCGATTAATTGTAAATATACAAGCGAAATACGACATTTTAAATAGAGATTTTTACAATTTCGATAAAACAGGTTTTATAATAGGGATTATATATACAATAATGATAGTAATTAATACTAAATGAAATGGTAGAAGCAAGGTAGTACAGCTAGGCAATTGAGAATGGGCTACAATAATAATATATGGAAATAAAAAGGATGAAATTATTCCCTTATTTTTAATAGTTTAAGAACAAGTTTATCTCTTCAATTAATATACCGAAACGAATCTTCTTATGGAATAAGCTATTAAACCTATATCTAATAGGTGAACAAATAATGAAACAGGTTTAGAATAATTAAAACACTTCGATAAGTATACTAAGAATCGAAGAAAGAGTAAATATCGAATATTAATACTAAATAGATATGAAAGCTACGAATTAATAGTTTTTCAAGTATATTACAAAGAGAATGATATTATATATTTATATTTATTATTATATTTAAATCATTTAATTCAATTATTTAATATTAATTATTTTAATAATCTGAAATGTTTATATAATAATTAAATTGATAGATTTATTAAAGTATATATTAATTATATTTCGAAGATTGAATTCTTTATAACTTTTAAAACTATATATAAAAAATCAATCACTTTTTAGAATATGAAATCAGAATTTCAAGGAATAGGTTTAATCTTATTTAATTTTAAAGCTATACTCTCAAAATTAAATATTCAAATTCATATATTTACCCCCCCCTCTTTCAATCTAAATCAATAAATCTCTTAAATTCTTTATAACCTAATTAAAACTCTTTCTCAATCAACATTAATTAAATCTTAAATAACTTATTATCAAATAAGTTCCCCTACACTTATATTTGAGATTATATTAATTCTAATTAAGAGTACAAAAAGATTAACTTATAAAAATATATTTTTAAATATAAAGAATTATACACTTTGAATAGTAAATGAAGTATTAAGTAAGTATCAATATATAAAAAAAACTTAATTACATTAAAAAGGAGTATTCACTAAACAAAAGACTTTTAATATATTATATCAACAAAAAGTTGATATTCAAATTCAATACAACAAGTATCAAAAAAAAGGTAAATTTAATAAAAAAGCATTTTCTATTCGATATTATAATAAATATAAAAAAACAGGTTATAATATAAAAACCTATTAAAATAATATAATAGATTCTAAATTATTAGAATCTTCATAATTTCAATCAATTGATTTGATTATTATTAAATAATATAGTTTTAAAAGTGTAAATTGAAGTAAAAATAACCCATTCACTGATATGACCCACTCACTGATAAACCACGTTATTATTTCTTAAATATAGAATTATTTTCTTTAATATTAAAAAGATACTTTTCAATTTTATAAATTTATTAATATATAAAACTAATATTTAAAGACTTTTAAACTAATATTTAATTTATTAATTATTTCTTTATATCAGGATTATCTTTTACATATATTATATACTTTTATTATAAAATAAATAATCATTTATATAGTTTTAAAGAATAACCCTTTAAATTCTATAATCTAAAACAACTTATTAAATTAAATGTTTATTTATTATTATATATAAAACTAAATTAATATTAACTTTGATATATATTTTAAATATAATATAAATAATAATATATCAAAATTTTAAATCAATTGATTTAAGAGTTATAAAGTTATTAAAGATTTAAGGTGGGAGGTTGCTTTCTATAATGAGCTTTTTTGAGATGGTTCAAAAGAGGGGTGGCTTGAAAGTGGGGTACCCGACTTATATTTTGATTTCAAAATGCTAAATTTATCATTAACCCCAGAAATTGTACAATGAAAAGTCTCCGACAGGCCTATAATACTCCATGAAGATCTGATTGTGAGTGTGTTTCATGCATAAGCGTGATTAGTACAGTGGGCTTACTATATAAATACAGGGGCTTCAAATCCACCTGCTATAGCACAGCGCAGAGAGGCTTTCACGAGATCAACAGTCGGTTTGCAGGCGTGGAATGATTCGTTATTATGCGCGACTACATCAATAATGACACCGTAACCAAGTTTTTTAGGCTATCAAACGCTATGAACACTAAAACGATTTTTAAAATGCACTACTGACACCATGAGCTTTCCCAGCGCACATCCAAACGTTTGGTAGGACTTCAAATCATACTGAGCTGAAATCATATCGCAAATCCTGTTACTTGGGGTTTCTTTCTATCATGGTCACCACCTTCATCATATGTCGTCAAAATTGCGTGATGTCATTTAACACTCCACAGTTCATTTAGAAGCGTGAGCAACAACGAATGCCGCAGCTGCGGTTGCATCCTCTCCGTAAGTTAAGTGAGCTGGAAGAATGATATCCCCAGCTTCACAGATGTTATCCCCAGTGTGACAGATCGTGTCCACTTTCGATGCGTCCATGTTTGGGATGGCTTGACCTTTATCTGTTCGTCGATGTATCAGCATCTTCTCTGCATTATTTATCAAGGAGGATCTCTAAAAATCCACATACCTGGATCTCCGAAGATCACGACAGAGCTAATCCATTTCACAGTTGCTGCAGGAAGTAACGCAAGTGCGTTATGCACGACTTGGCCTCCTTGAGAATAGCCAGATGCCACAAGATTTGTGTTTGGGCATGCTGCGTACGCGGCCTCAATTTCTGATGCCCTATATTAAAGTCAGATGCCTGGTGACGATATTTTTTTACATATCACAAAATATCGGGTTGTTCATATCATGTTTGTTCATATAAGTAGCAAAAGGAAAACATACATTGAAGCACTTCCAACGGGATCACCGCCAGCAAGGAATGTCGCTACGCTAGCTGCATAATCATTCACACCTTGAACTCTGACCTTAGAAGATCCTACAAGATTTTCCAGTGCCATGAAGAATGGCGGACCAGTGACGACTCCTGTGTTTCCCGGATCATCTGTTCCTCGGGCGTAAATGACAGTATAGTCAGTGCAAGCACCGCCTAATTCATTGTAAGTATCACTGATGCCAGTGAGCTCCGAGATGAGGTTCTGAAAGTCAGTGATAACACTTTCAACCGCTCCGATTGCGCCATTGACTGCTGGGAGATGGTTCAGGATTATGGTGAGTATAGTGTTGAGAGGGGTATTTCTCTTCTCGTTGTGAGCGACAGGTCGGGGGGAGATGGGCGCAGCCGCAGCCAGACTGGCAGACAGAACGGTAAGGAGAAGATTAAGCTTCATGGTGAAGTCGCAACACGTCAAAGAGGATGATGAGACTGTCGAGTGCCTGGAAACGAAGGGGGAGGGGAAGGAGAATGAGAGAAACACGAGCTGGGCTGGAGAAGAAAGACATGATGGAGGTACAATTCACCTTTTATAATGGCTTGAAAGGAGGATAAATCGACGATTCAGTGAATTTTTCTTCTCTCTCATTTCTACGAAGTACAACGGAGTAACTGGATCATGGGTGTGTAAACGCGGGGAAACGGCGAGGGCACCACTGCGAATAGTTACTCATCATTCTACTCGTATACAGGCACAGATTGATTTGGATTGGTTTGGTACGATCGGGATAATGTCAATCAGGAACAATCTCCGACGACGATTGGCAGTAAGCAAGCTGTCATGTCATGGAACTTCTTAAAAAAAGAACACTCGGGGCAACGCAAAGTGTAGGATTTCATGGCATATACCAATTAGGCTTCAACGCTACCAAAGGGTAAGGGATTGACGTGTTTAAATTCGTTGAGGAAAATTGTTCTCATGACCATGTTTGGTGCAAATGGATCTTTTTTGAAGGATGGGGTTAGATTGATTCGGTGTAACTCTACGGGTACCATATGGAGTCGCTCAATTGACAAATTAAAAGCGGTGTTGATTAGCAGCTGTGACCAATTGAAGTTAATAAGAAATCAATTATTATGCGCCGTGGCTAATATCTTTATTTGGCTTAGGTACTAGTTTGTGCCATTCATCTATTTGTGCTACATTGGCAATTGAACACGCTTTCAGAGCTTTTTTAGAACCAAATACTAGGTATCTTGACAAGAACTGAACGACTGCCGTTTGTCGCACAGCAACGGCGTTGTGGAGAAATCTGGGGAAGACTTCGGGGGATAGAATCTGCAGCTGCGCGAAAACCCAACACAACCAACACCACGCGACCTAATTCGCGGGGTGTAGTATTTCCGACCTTCCATAAGAATCGAATTTAGCATGTGAATCCACTTACTTCTTTCGCTTCTACAGAATACGGTAATGGCAGCTTGGGGACCGCGTGGGGCTACATTCTAACAGCCACTATTGCTAATTAGGATATATGTCCGCGCCCGGCGGTCAACCAATGACGTGGAAACTAGTTTCCTGGCAAGGCTGGATTGTAGATTTGGACAGGATAGCATGAAAGAGCTGCAAGTGAACGAGAATCGGACTCGTTTCATCTCTTCATGAAGTGCATTTATCCAGAAATCCTGCATTTTTACAGCTTACAAATGTACCGAGGAGCGACTCTCACATGTAATACCGGTAGATGTTTAGCAAGTCGAAGGGGCAGCAACGAACTATATATGTGCTTTGACTGACAATGAATTCATCGGATGGCCTTCAGAAACTCTGCATCCTGCAGATGCTTCTCGATCCCTTTCTCATTTATATGTGATGAGAATCAAATCCATCAAATCCACTTTCTCGCTTGCAGAACAAAGGTGTGTGGGGCGTGGAAATTATGATGGGTGTGAAGGCCAGAGGATGGCCCTCACATTAACTCAACAACGAAATTTTGCGAGATTGAAAGTATCCTGCCGTCCCAACAAGTAGATTACAAAAAAGCATTCTCTATGCGCCGTAGAATATTCATTTCAAATCGGTCCAGGCCTACTCAATTTCCTCAATTCTCGGTTTCGTAACATTTGCATTCCTGCTGACTGGGGTAATATTCAAACCAGCCAAGTTCTCCATCCCACCACCACCTGCTGAGCTTCCAACCGGGATGAGTGAATTCATTTGCCATGACTCTATTCCCTCGACGACGTCTTTTGCATGCTGTCTAACCAAGCCATCATTATCCGTACCCTGAACATATCTCAATATTCTCGTCATATCATCCAAACTCTGGCCTACGAATCCAAATCCTAATTGTCTACCTTCAGATCTAGCCTTGTCCAATGCGCGTACAAAACTCATGACGAGAAGAATGGCAGATCGGCGAAGAATACCCTTCTCAACCTCTGGTTCCAATGTGAGTATATGAATGCTGAGATCTACAGACATAGAAATTGGTTTATGTCCGATACCTGATACATTACATTCTATGGCCTCGCCGAGAATTGCCAAAGCAGATGAGCGTGTCCGTATATCTTCCGTTCCACGCTTGCTTTCCCAACCTGAAACTATTTGAGAAAGTAATTCATATTCGGGATGGTCGGCATCCGGTTCAAGAATCTCGTCTAATTGTGGCACTGGGCCATCCCATGCCTCTTCTGCTTCGGCTGTCTTCTGTTTCTTGAGTTTATCGCGTTTGATTTGTTCGGCCTCGCTTTTAGGTCGATGGCCTCTGCGACCAGCAATCGAAATCAGACCTTCGCTGACGGTTTGTGCAATACTACCTGTAAAGTTTCTTGGCGAGGATTGAATGACTTGGAGTAAGGCTTCCCCAAGTCTCAAACGTGCGTCAAGATCATAATCCTCATTGCCATCTGCATAACGCTCAATAAGATCTTTTAATACAGCCCTAGGGTGAATTTTTGAGAGGTCAATGAAGCACCTGATAGCACGGAGATAAACGTATTCTTCGGAGTCTTGAAGTAGCGATGCGAAGAGAATGAGAAGCGCAGGTATGTCCAAAATCGAACTACGAGCACTAACAAGGCTCTGGATTAGTTCAATTCCCTGGACTCTTACTGGAGGCGGAGATTCAACAGAAGTTAGATATGACAAAGCAAGATTATACGTCTTTCGGTCTTCTACTGCCCGACTGGGAATATTTTCGGATAGTGACTCGCTTGACTCATGAAGTGCATGGCGAAACTGTAGAATGACGAGAAGATTTTGTGCGGTTTGTGTTACTTCTGTAACTGTTCTGCGCCCATAAATTCGGAGAGAGGATTCGATCCTTTCTAAGAAAGGTTCTATAATAGGGTTTGGCCTGAAGTTTGGTGATGTAAGAATAATGTTTAATAGACTTAAAGCAATAGAGACAGTTCCCTCCTGATCTTCGGAATCTGAATCTTCGGCGCCTGCTGCGTCGGTAAGTACCCCATCAACTAGCTCCACTATCTGCTTAGAATCTTGAACAAGCTTCTCTGGCATTACGTTGATCATTTCTTGTAACAACTTTGCTTCAATGAGCTTTTGCTTCGCATCTTCTTCGCCACTGATCAACGTAGAATGAATTAAAATAGACGGAGTTGTAGAAGTCCTTGCTTGCGAGAGCCATTTCTGACACAACATTAAAAACATTTGAGGTACCTGTGAGTCAGAATCAGGAAACTCGTTCAATAGGCCAATGAACTTCTCTACTGCTGTATTGATTTGGCCGATATCAAGGTGTTCTTGATTCCTCTTGTTAGTTTCTGACTTTTTTTCAATCTGAATATCACTATCATCTTTTGATAGACGATAAATCCAGCTCGTTTTAGCAGGCTCTGATCTGCCTTGAAACAGAAGGTCCTTCAGAATTTTGGAAAGTGCGCCTTCGCTAGGCTTAGAAGTCGTTGACGCTAAAAGCTGCAGCAAAATCTTCAACAGCTTTCCTGCACACGCACTAGAATCCCCGCCATTATCTTTGTTTTCGACGCAAAATAAAGCCCACAGTGGCAAGAGAATCGGATTAAGAAGTCGCTTTGTTAGTGATGGGTGAGGATGTGATGTTACTATAGTAAGCAATCTTCGTAGATTTGTCCTAAGATCCTTTGCTGTGATAAGAACTTCTGGCATTCCAAGTACTGCTATCTCTTCAACTTGTGATTCTTGTGTTGTGGATAGGGGCATAAGGGCTGGGTCAATTGATCCAATAATTGGCTCGACCAATGATTTCCATCCCGGTGCGCCTGAAGCATTTAGCATACGTTGAGACAAACAAACCATCCGCCTTACCTGGGGCACCGTAAAGCTTGCGACCTATTATACCAAACCCAATAATGTAAGAAGCAGCTTTATCCATTTCTCGCTCTCCTTTTCCATCCAGAATATCAAATAATTGAGGGGCAATACCACTGAACCATTCCTCTGCTGACATTCCTTGTGGGGGTGAAGATAAGAGTCTTGATGCGGAGCTCATGGCTTCATGAGAAATATTAACGGAACGACTACCAACGGAATCCGATGCTTTCATACTCGCATTGCTCGGATGAATTGAGAAGACAAATTCGATCGTATCTTGTACGCCGCGCGGTCTCAAGGGAAGACGGGCTAAAGTTTGAATCAAAGGTCCTCGTAACCAAGGCTGCACTCGGTCTGGTTGAACAAGAAGATTCAACACGGGCATGAGTTTCAAAGTAGAATTACTGTTGAATCATTAGAACTTCCGTTAAGAGATATTGAAGACCTTCTACCTTTCAATTAAATCGTTAAATTTATGTCGCGATTGAATTCTTTTGGTTTCGGGAATCTCTGGATCAAAAGCTGCCTTTCCGATCTGTAGAAATTGATCAACCAAACGCGGTTGTGCAGTCCTATTGCTTTGTTTCTCTGACATAATTACAATACAATTGGCAAATGATTACTCGCAAATGGATGTACCAGAATTCATTTGGTGGATGCCGTCGATGAAAAGAAGAATTTCAGATCCCGTGATCTTGATATTTTGGGGATGCGATTGTGGCTAATGACTTGTGGCAAAAGTGGCGTAATGCTATATTGGCCGTCCACCTGATCATACCTAGGTAGCCACCGACGAAGATTCGCGCGTAGTCCTCATTTAAAGTCTCAAGAAGAGTTTCACAATCAAACACCCTTCAATTTCCAAGTGGACTTCTGGTCATCAAAGACTCTCTTTTGTATTGTTTTGTGGTATTCAAAATCTGACATCCGAGGGGAGTGGAGTAATACTGTGTCTATAGACTTTTCAATATTGCCTCTCATCAGATCTCTGTAAGTTGTTAGTTTACCATCCGATTGTTGCATTGAAATGCACATATCTTGAGAGCAAATCCCATGCCTGCATGTGCTCCGATGTTGAGAGTTTGTTTATTTTTCAACAGTAGTAACTAATTCTCGAATTGATTGTCTTTTTTTCATTTATTGATACGCTGTGATACAATAACAATCGTTAACTATGGCTACACCATTTCTCTAGGATATCAACGCATTATCCCATGATGTTTTGTGCCGTCTTTCCATTCATTATCAACGCATCTCGCGAATGAACATTCACCATGCCATCTTTCTCGTTCTCTATTCTCCCGTGTTGGCTACCAAATGCTTTTTTTTGACCAAGTCGACCTTTATATTTCCGTTCCTCATCATCTTATTTCTCGCCAAATGCTCCATGGCCGAGACCATATCTTTTGTCAAAGTCTCATCGGTGACGGTAGACTCATCCCTTGTAACTGTTGCTTGCTGCTCCTCAAACTGGGGCAAATTGCTCCGAGTTTCCGAAAACGATTTGCTTTGTGGTGGAATACTTCTCATGACTATCGTCAGCTCCTCTATTTCGGCCAACAATGGCTTCTCCTGCACATGTTCTATTTCGATACAATCATCCTCCTCACACCAGCCCTCAAAGAGCTGTTTGTTCAACAAATAATGCCCAATACAAAATATATCGATGGCTACTTTCCTCACTTTCTGAAAATCAACCATACTGGACCTCACATCCTGCAAAGCTCTCATGGTTCCATAGTCCGTCTTAAAGTATATTGTGTCCTGGTCTCTCAAGAACTTAATTCCTCTTCTGAAGCCGGCACCCAACCTTTCCTCAACAACTTTCCTGTCCACGTAGATTGGATCCTCCATTCCATCTTCTCCTATGAAATCTTCAATGAAGTCAAAATCTTCCGGGTGCTTATCGTTAAGACAGTAATCCCACATGCCTTCCACGACGTCTCTGCTTTCACGAGACACTATTTCGATCGTACATTGACTTCGCGGATTGACCTCGGTCCATCTCAAAACAGAGGATCCCGTTGGCTCAGGGAATATCGTTTTTTCGCAGTCTATGTTCCATTGTAGATTTTCTACGCTTTCGGCGCGAACTTCGATTAGGCGAGGGTGTTGAGTTTCGAGGAAAGCTTGACGCCAGATCATGCAGCGAATAGTGCGAGGAAGAAGGGAAAATTTGTGGAAAGTGTTTTGGCTTTCAGGCAGAAAAGATTGTTCTGGAGTTCGTGAGGCATGTAAAGACGAAAAGGGTGACATGAGTGAGAGAGTGGAATGTATATCCGACTCGGACAAGGTTTGGGTTAAGGATGCCATCTTTGTTGTATGAATAAGGGTTATGAATTATGATAGTATGGAATGATTTGCTGTTTAAGTGGACGAAATAAAACAACAAGACAAGTTGTCTTGCAAAGAAATGAAATAAAGAATTTGGCTTGTGTAGTTCCTGCCCTGACACACTCTAGAGAAGAAAGCGACACACACAATTATCCAAATGGTATGGATAATCGAAATTACCTGTTTGACATGTAATATGATTGACAATAGTGCCTCGAATATGATGGGTATACAGGTATTCAACTTTTGACTCTTTATTTTCAAGGTAAGTAAACAAAGGAAAGTAGAGAATGGTCAAACAAATCACGAACAACTAAAGGGAAGCAAAGATGTAAACTTCATTCATCACTATTTAAGTCCCTCAGACTGTTGGATGACAGGGAGTTAAATGTCAGCACTGTAGTGGGATTCTGCTGGTCAAATCAGGCTATGCCACACGCTACAGGGTATTGAATTACTCTCTACCCCTCCAACCCCTCCAACCCCTCCAAATCGAAGAAGTTGAGCGTTTAACCTTCACATTTTTGTTGATACCTTGTGATACCAAGTTAGGATTTTACCAACATCAGAGATGGCACTTAGATTCTTACCGAGGTTAAATACCATCACAATACTGAGCCTCCAAAAGCGGGTGTTCTAGGCGGTCCGATAATTTTACCGGGCGGTTGCTCATCTGAACAGGATGCAAACCCCGGATCGGAACCACTTCACCAACAACGTCCCGGGTCAAACATTGTATGATTGTGGTACAAAATATGAAAAAGACGTTTCAGGAACCCTGTTATTGCGTAAGTAAAATAAGATAACCTTATCCGCTCGTAAAACCTTCATGTACAACATATATTCCTGCTGATCGTTTGCCGCGATTCCTTCGGTCCTAATTCAGGGCATATCCGCCCACCAGGCTCTTCGTGTTTCTATGCCAATAACCACATTACCCGACTCAAGCATTGCAAACTTCCTTCACAACTAATTGATAATACCGGAAATTTAAAGCCCAATAAGGATGAATTCAGAAATCCGCAAACGATCAGGCAGGTGTAGCCTTTATCAGTTCGTCCACTATTTTATAGCACTCCTCTGGATTCTCGAACACTCTCCAGACATCCCTTGGTACACCGTCAAATGCTTTCTCGAATCTTTCGGGCTCATTTTTCTGGACAATACCAATGGATGCTATGTCCGTTACTTTGCGGATGAGTACTAATTTGACCCAGCCCGGGGTTTTGCGACATCTTAGTGGTTCGTTAGCAAGGTCGAAGACTGATATGCGAGGATATAAAATTTATTGATTGGAACGAGAAGGAATATTGGAGATAAAATTGAACAAAAACTTACATCTCCCCATAAGCTTCTGGGTCACTCTGCGTACTATCGCCCACAAAAATCATCTTCCTCTTCGGCAACCATGTATGAATCTTTTCTATCTCGTTGACTTTGTACTCCTGTGTGCCCTCTGTCAACGTCTCTAACAATCCAGATAAACTCAAGAAGTTGGCATCCCTCAGTATCATAGTTCCTTGGGGATAATATGCCCGACGGAATTTGCTGAGAAATGAATAGAGGGTGTAAGGAGAGGCAGATAGATAGAACCAAGGAGCTATGGAAGCGTGTTTAGGTGTAATGATGGTTTGTATGTGTTTGAATAGTTCTGGCATTCCTTCAACGGGCATCGGTTCAGATAAGAAGGTAGAGCGTAAAATGTCAATTGGAGAACTTGTTTGAGTTATTTTTATTGAGTCGTCAATATCTGTACAGAGTTATTATAAACCCTTTGGGATCCCTTCAGTTTTCGCATCGTCCAGGATATTAAGGTCATCTGGGATTCTCAGACTCACCAGAAATGACTGCCCACCCTTCAGGTTCTGCATAGACTGTCTTCATCTGCAATATTCCTTCAACTTCCAATGGGGCTTTCGCCTTCCATTTTACGATTTCGCCGTCTTTGCCATTCCGCAATGTCCGGGTATCGCTACTAATGCCATTTCGACCACACGGTCCAAGTTTTAAATTTGCGACCCCTTGATGACCTGAAGAAGTAATATTGACAACTCTTCCAGGTCGAACATCCATCAAGAATGGTCTCAATCTTTCTTCCACAATTTCATCTTCTCCTCTATCACCGTCACTCCCAATTCTTCCCACGATATCCCCAATGATTTCTGGTACATGTCTTGCACTTTCTCTCTCCCATACTGCAGCTACAAATTCTGCTTCCCACTTCCCGGTTAGGTGATTTCTATATGCCGTATTATCCAATAACCAAACCGTATCGTCTTTGGTTACTGCTTTAGGAAATGGATTACGTGGCCCAAGGTACGAGAGAAGATTGTCTATGAGCGAGTTCGTGGATGCGCGAGGGAGATTTGGAAGGCTTGATTCGGTTTCGGGGAAGTGGTTGCTGTTGCGAGCTTGGACTTGGAGGGACGTTGTGCTTCGACGGGAGATCGTCATCATGGTGTTAGTGGGTTAGCTCTAGTTTAATCCTCTTTGTTGTTATTTAATGATTGAGATTATGAAATGCGAAGCTACCGGTATACGTTTGGTAGTAGTACGTTTGGTAGTAGTACGTTTGGTATCGCTTCAATTATTCAATGAAGCCAGATAACAAAAAGCAGAAGGTACGAATCCGCAAAAAGAGTTCTGAAAAAAAGATAGATCAAAAAAGGAACCCATGAAAGCAGTATAGGGCTGGTATTTAACCCATAGCTCTGCCTTATTGTGCCCCGTCATTCTTATTTACGCTTTGAGGCTGATGATCACCCGCCTACTACTTGACGAGATTGTCTTTAGTTGCTGGGCATAACGTTAAGATTAGCGCTGCGCCCAGCAGCCTAAATATGTACAGCCATCAAACCATGGGGGAGGCTGATGTAATATGAGGTGTGATGAGGTCAGGGGACAATGGTGAAATGTCAGGCACGCGATGAATTGATTCGACCATTTGGTGATATGAACATAGCTTGGCTGATGGTGGCGTTCGGTATGACTGTACCAGATCTTAGGTGACAATGGCAGTATGTAGGGCTATGAGTAAGAGGATCTCTTGTACTCTAGGCAATTCGTATCTCACAGAGTGTGTGGTTGATGGACGGCGTTATTCACAATAGTTTGTGTTCAGCTTACTTTAGGCCCTGAAGTGGTGGGGCATTTTTGCGCAACATTGCTGGTGAAGTAAATGAAGGGGATGCATGTGAATTACCGAATTATTCCAAGCTTCTAATTCAATAATGTCTAACGACATTATAAATGCATCTGCAC